AGCTCGCCTGCGTGTGACGTCGCCATCAGGAGAGTGGCCTCATCATACTCATCAGCCTGCGCTAAATGAGCCAGAGCCTTCTTGTTCTACTTGCGATTTGGGTACTCCTTTGTCCAATGGCCCGCCTTCCCGCAGCGTCGGCAGGAGTTAGGGTCGACCTTCTTCTTTTTCTTCTCTGAAGAAGCCTTGCCGCGGCGCTTGCCATCGCCACCGTGGCTGAAAGAGGCTTCGCCGGAGTTTCTTCGGGCAGCCCACTCCTCCTTTGTCAGCAGCAGCATGCTAATGTCCGTCGTTGCTGTAGCCTGCTCCATGCGCTCGTCCACCGCCCGCAGACGGCTTGTCACATCCTCAATGGTGAGGGTGGATAAGTCCAACATCGTCTCTATGGAGAGAGTGATCTGGATGTACTTCACCGGCACGGAGTGAGGATATTTGGAGACCGCCTTTTCTTTGTCGATGGTGACGCCATGGCTCCTCAGCTTGCTCATGAGCGACTGCATGCGAAGGGAGAAGTCCTCCACCGATTCACCATCCTTGAACTTAAGGTTGGCATACTTCTACTTCAACAGCTGGGCCGTCGCCTTCTTTGCGCCGTCGGAGCCGACGTGCATCGCTGCAATGGCCTCCCACGCCTCCTTAGCAGAGTTCTTCGCCCCCAATGACTCCCTGTACTCCGCTAGCACAGCAGCGAGGATAGACTCCAACGCTGACATGTCATCTTCTTCGTTGTTGGTACCCTTGTCAATAGCATTCTAGAGCCGTCGGGCTCTGAGCTTGACCTTCATGGTCACCGCCCACTCGTCATAGTTGGTGCGAGTCAGCGTCAGTGCCGCTGACCTCTAGCACCGTGGGCACAACGATCTCCTATCGTGGCTGGGCAGCCACAACAGCACCGCTGTTGTCGCCCATCTCTAAACCGCCCGTCATCGACAGCGGTTAGTCTGACGACGGCGTTTGTACGGCTCTGATACCACTTGTTGGCCCCTAGATCTTCGGCATGGGTGAGTCGACCGCTCACCGGCGTTGCCGACCGGTCACTATGGCTAGAGGTAGAAGAAGAGAGGGAGAACAGAGCACACACACAGCACAAGCACCAGCATTGGCTGGAGCTCTGTAGAGGAGATGACAAAACTGAACTCGCTCTCTTTACTGGGTTGCGGTGGGAAACTATATATACAACTCTACCCATCTAATCCTAGTACATAGACATGTCAGGCTGCCATGCTGCTACAGTGACTAGATGTGACAGCAAGGCTGACTTTGGTGCCTACCCCTACTGTGGCTACAGTGCAGCAAGAGAGCCTTTCGGCGCCTACCCCTGCCGCGCTGTACAGAGGAGAGCAGCAGATGACTTAACAGTCTGCAGCAGACCATTGAGATCAGTAAAATCCCAGGAGGATCACAGTGTTCGCTCCATGAAGAAACACCTACAGATACTAATGCATCACACAGGCATGCAATTGCAGATGCTGCTTGGGAAGCCCTCAAAAGGTCAATAGTATACTTCAGAGGCCAGCCAATTGGGACTGCTGCTGCAATAGACAAGTCTCAGGGGGCAGCACTCAACTATGATGAGGTGACCTTTTCTGTTTCCAGTTGAAGTGTTGGCAGTGTTGTCAATTTTAAAGATTTCGTGCTATTTTTATATTGTACTATGCACCCTTCTATTACTATTTGTTTTGCATCTATCATTAATTCATTATTGTAAATGGTAGTCCTAATCCTGATGTGGAGTATTCAAGTGTACATTATCAGCTTCCTGCAAAAATACATCATAGCTATCTCATGCATGAATAGCAATGATTTATGTTTTTTTTTCATATATTGGGACAGGTTTTCGTGAGGGATTTCATTCCTAGCGCATTGGCTTTTCTTATGAAAGAAACTGCACGCCTTCAGTCAAGGGAGAACATGATTGACCTCTTTAAGGTGCATCATCGCAACTGTACCCAGAAGACAGAAAGCTTACTGGGTGATTTTGGTGAAACTGCCATTGGGAGGGTTGCTCCTGCAGATTCTGGCTTATGGTGGATTACTCTGCTTCGTGCTTACACCAAATGGACAGGGGACAATTCTCTGGCTGAAAGTACTAACTGCCAAAGGGCCATGCACCTTATTCTCTGGTTGTGTCTCTCAGAGGGATGTGATACTTCTCCAGCCTTGCTTTGTGCTGATGGGTGCTCCATGATAGACCGAAGAATGGTAGGCTGCCCACCTTAATCCAGCTACTTCTGTTTTCTTATTATGTTTGACACTGTATCCTGTATCTATTGTACCTCCTTATGTCTTACTACAAACTTATCGTTCAATTGCATCCTTGGCCCTGGGGACAGCAAGTTATCTAAATGCTTGTCTTGAACGTTTGTACATATTTATCATGTATCTTGTTTACTGAACTATTGACTGAAATCTGTGCAGGATATATATGGCTATCACATTGAAATCCAGGCTCTGTTTTTCATGGCTATGAGATGTGCCCTGAGTTTGTTGATACAAGACTCCGATCCTGACTTTGTGAACCACATCACAAAACGAATCCAAGCTTTGATCTACCATATACACAGCTTCTATCACTACAAGACTGAAGAGTACTCACAGACAGCTTTGAAGAAGTTCAATGTGATACCCGAATCAATACCTGATTGGATATTTGACTTCATGCCTAGCCGGGGTGGATACTTTATTGGCAACGTTAGTCCTGCAAGGTTGGATTTCCGCTGGTTTTGTTTAGGCAACTTCATTGCAATTCTGTCATCAGGCTGAAGCAATACTGGATCTTGTGGAGGAGCGCCAGCAAGAACTCATTGGTGAGCTGCCACTCAAGATCTGTTACCCAGCAATGGAAAATCAGGAATGGCATATAGTCACGGGATGCAACCCGAAGAACACTAGGTGGAACTATCACAACAGAGGCTTATGGCCAGGTGAGAGTGCTTTGGAAACTTGATATGGAGCGCAACATTGTGTTATTAAATGCTAACAATAATCTGCATTTCATTTTGCGTTTTGTGGTTTATGGAGTAAGTAGTTATATTATCAAATAGAATAAACATATGAGAATGTGGTATAAACATCTTTGGGTTTAGCAAATTAGTACTTACATAATATACTGACCAACTTCTGGTAGAGAAGACAACATATATAGACACTGAAAGCTGTCCTAAGTTGGAACAATGCAAGCTAGTAATAAGAACAGTCTTTTGTTTGGCAAATTGATATAATTTTACAAATATATATATAAATGGTTATGTTCACATTGAAATGATAGGCATAAAGCTGGGGCACCCATACTTGGCGAGAAGAGCAGCGGAGCTAATGAAGCGGAGAATGTCAACTTTCTCTAAGGGCGGCGATATTGATTCATGCTCTATGATAAATCAAATTGTGGTATGCTTCTCAGCTTAGATCCAACACTCTAATTGCTATTTCTTTATGAAACTTTAATTGCTATTTCTTGCTGAATTCATGTGTTTCTTCATTTGGTTTTCTGCAGATGAAATCTAGGATTCCAATAAATGACAGAGGGTCTAGAAATTGCTATATTGTCAGTTTGGATGGATCCGATGAGGAGATCTTGCAAAGCTATAGGGGAGCTATTGAGTCCATCCATGAATTTTGCTATTCAAATACCAAACCTGTCGATCTCTCAAGTATTTATGGCTCAAAGATCGAGGTATTTACAACCCCTGAAAGTGGTACATTATTTCTTGGTTTTGAGTATAAGAACTGGTTTCTTGTGTTGTCCCTTGCGGGTCGGGATCTATATACTATGGGCTGGAGGTCTATGCATGGAACATTTGAGCTGAAATCAGATACTTAGAAGGTAAACTATATGGCTGATCCATGCACAGTCTTGGATATACCTAAGCAGTACATGTTCCTTTCTCCAAAGGGAAAACTTGGTAACATAAGAATAGGTGGACTAGCTATGAAAGATGCCTTCGAAATGTTACACAAGTGCCGTGGACAAGTATCATATGAAGTGATGCAAGCAATAGGCATATTCTCAGTTAATTTCCCAGAGGCCGCCAGGATTCAAGGGGTTTTCAATGATATTTGTGCGTCATTTTGTCCGTTGCATGGCTATGATGTGACAACCCTTGATAGTAGAAACAAAAATTCATTCTGGGTACAGAACTGGGATCAGTATGCGTTCCAAGGAATGCAGAGAATAAGTCATCTTTTAAAGGGAAAATCACCACCACCTATCAAAAATCCTAAAGATGCTGTGATACAAGTCAGTTCAGAAAGTGAGATTTTCAAACAAATTCGGATACTACCCAGAGATGCCTATGGAGAATGGCCGTTTGAGCATGAAGCTAGACCATCACCAATATCTGAGTGTGTATTGGACAGTAATCCTAGTGGTACGAAACTTCGGGAACAAAAAGGAACTGATAAGAAAAAGGATGGTTCAAGGAAGGAGGCGATGGGGGAGGAGGAGATGATGGAGGATCTCCTTCCTCCTCTCTGCTAGATGAGTGGGGGCTTGATGAAGAGGGGGAAATCGGTGAAGAACAAGACTTTCGATCAATTCACTGAGATGCGGAGGACTTACTGGTTGGAGTTTTCAGGAAGACTGATTGATCGACATGCACTTCCTGTGAGAGATTGGCTTCCTTCGTATGCACTGATGAGGCGCGGTCTGAAAGAAAGGAGTTGTTGTGCTCAAGCTCAACAAATCAAGCCCCATACACCTTGGAGGGGTCCTGTGCAGAGAACTGTAGGGAGAGGTATGTCAAGGGTTTGTAGTTTGGTGACCAGATTCTTCTGGTTTATTTGAGTGTTGATTCAACCTTGGAGTGAAATAGGTATATGTTCTAAGATACAGATACATAGTTGCCATTAACTGTACTGGTTCTTGCCTTGACAGTCGAGTGTATATACTGTCGTGTGAATGAGAGTGTAAGTTGCATTAGTGATATTTGCCACGCAGACATGTGATATTTTGTTTTTTTTGAATCCTGTCGTGTGAATGAAAGTGTAAGTACTTATGGTGTTCAGGAACCCGTTCCTATGGTGTTCAGAAATAGTGGGTACAGCCAGCGTTTTCTGAATTGCTTGGCGATGGCCTTGTGCAATGCCCAGATCATCACAGCATAGAAACTATTTTCTTCTTCTTCTGAACCTTGGGATATAAAAGCCTGAATTATGATTTTTTTAATGCATACGAAGCAATTTGTATTTTACAAATAAGAGTTCGCTGGTGCAAACAATTGACAGAGAAATGCGAACAGCTAGCAATTATGCATTTCTGAACTTATAGGAGTGCTGCAGGCCTGTATGTAGTCTATAAGCTGGTGACTGTTGCTAACTGAATCAAGAACGGAGCTGGAGATGTGCATTTCATATGCAGAGAAGAGAATAGCAGAGCATTGATGATCTGGGCATTGCACAAGGCCATCGCCAAGTTGGAGTTCTGATCTTAGTGTAGGACACGAGTACATGGGTGCATACTGAAACCAATATATCCGTGACTCTCCAAATTTCTCTTTTGGGCCACAAAGACTATTTTGGCTTAATGTGTTGTGTGTCGTTGAGTCGTGACTCTGTTTGGTTTCATGGACTGGTAGTGTCCTGTGTGTTGTGCCCAAAACTGTTGTGGTGCAGCATTATGGCTTAAATCATGAGTAAGCTGTGATGTTTTCAACTCAAATCTGTGATTATGGCTGTTTTCGGTTATGTCTCCTGATATTGTCGGTGCTCGTCGCACCTCCAGGTTCTCACTGTCTACCTACCGTTTCTTACTGAATGTTAACTTGAGGTTCTGTCAGGCAATTAAGCTTAGTTTTTTTTTACTCCGGCTTTACAGCTTAACATTGGTTTGTTGATTTTTTTTTTTTTTTGAGAACACGCCGTAGCGCATATTTCATTAAGCAGACAGAGTTTTGAAAACAAGCCATGGTAACGACATGGTTACAAAAACCTAGCACTACTGGATTCACAACCAAAGATTACATTTTAGCAAATTTTGCGACAAAGGGCAAAACGAACTACAACCTCGCCAAGATCAGCCCCAGGCATCTGTTCCCTGCCGAGCACCAGCGCTCGGCCTCCTCCTGCATCGCGAGAACCAGCAGCCCAGGCGTGGATGCAACAGCATTAAAGGTGCGGGAGTTCCTTTCTTTCCACAACATCCAGCCCACCAGGAAAATAAGCGAATCAAAGCCACGTCGCAGCGATTTTTGAACTGTCTTTCTAGACCGCAACCACCATTCCAGAGCTGCCTCTCCATCATCAGTTGAAGGCACCTGCAGCCAAATTCTTGCAAACCAAATGTGCCAAACTTCCCTACTGAAGCTGCACCCAATTAGAATGTGATCCATCGTTTCAGGTTCTTGATCACACATGATGCAATCGTTGGAGGGTTGCAAGCCGTGGCGGAAGCGGCGATCACCAGTCCAGCAGCGCCCGTGCATGGTTAACCAGAAGAAGAAGCGAACCTTCGGCGGAGCCGGCGTCTTCCAAATCTGCTTGGCGCCAAGAACCGGTGAGGATCCGAGGAACATGGCACCATAGGCTGAAGCTGCTGAGTAGGATCGATCAGCGGTCAGTCTCCAAGTGAACGTGTCAGGTTCCTGTGATAACTGCACATCATCGATGAGGTCGCAAATGAGATCGATTTCGAGCAGAAGCTGCAGAGAGGGCGGTGCAGCAATGTGCCGGACCCAAGCACTCCCATCCAAGACCTCGGCGACAGTAGCCATCTTGTTCCTTGCGCGCATAGCAGCGAACACGGTCGGTGCAAAGGACTCGATGTTGACCCCCCTGATCCATTTGTCCGTCCAGAAGTACGTTGACCGACCATTTCCCAGGTTTAGGACAGTGGCCGCCTGGAAAAGTGCCAGAGCCGCCTTCTCCTTGGTCGCCGGCCGGCGTCCGAGTCGGCGATCATGCCAGACCCATCGCACACGCAGCGCAATGCCAACACGCCTCAGGTCCGAGATACCCAGGCCACCCAACTCCTTGGGCAAACAGACCCGCCCCCATGCCACCTTGCAAAGACCACCAGCAACCTTATCAGTTCCTGCCCACACGAATGCCCGTCTCAGCTTATCAATCATGCCAATTGCCCAAGGTGACAAGCAAAGGGCGATGGAAGTATGAATCGGGATGGCCGAAAGGGTAGCTTTGACAAGCGCCGTTCTGCCAGCTACATTGAGCAAATTTCCTTTTCAGCCTGGGATTCGCTGAGCCACTTTGTCAATGATGTACTGCTCCTCAGAGCGCTTGAGTTTGTAGACTGACAGTGGAATTCCAAGGTACTTGCATGGGAAAATTTGAACTGTACAGGACAGTACTCCCTGAACCCTTGCTATATCGTCTTCTGAGCAGTGTATAGGTGTGGCAATACTTTTGTCCAGGTTGGAGAAAAGACCCGAAGCAAGACCAAAAATTCCCAGCACCGCTTTGACAGTTAGCAGGTCCTGTTCATTTGGCACTACGAACATGACCAAGTCATCAGCATAGGCTAACACGGGAGCCATGTAATTCAGCGATGGGTGTCAGCAACCCCTGTCGTTCCACCCAGCCAAGAAGATGGTTTAGCACCTCCATCACAAGGACGAAAAGCATCGGCGACAGGGGGTCCCCTTGACGCAGCCCCCGAGAATGGCAGATCCTCCTCCCTGGGCGTCCATTAAGGCCCTGTTCGGTTCCCGGGGAACGACGTCCGGGAACCGTTCCGGCCAGGATTGTCCGTTTAATTTGTACGTAGCAGATTTGACCGGGAATCATTCCGGGGCGGAAACTACTCAAACGAACGAGCCCTAAGGAGTATCTTGGTGCTTGACGTCGACAGAATAGCGGAAATCCAGTTTCTCCATCTCAAGCCGAAACCCATGTGCTGGAGCACCTCAAGCAGGAAAACCCAAGCAACCGAGTCAAACGCCTTTGCCACATCAATTTTGAGCAGGACACAAGTAGAACGCTGCCTGTGTAGCTCCTTGCACGACAATTGTACATCCCGAAAGTTGTCATGTATACTCCGTCCCTTGATGAACGCACTCTGGTTGCCTTGCACCAATTGGTCTAGCACCTTCGCAAGCCGGTTAGCCATACATTTAGTTAGAAGCTTGCCAAAACTGTGTATAAGGCTGATGGGGCGGTAGTCCCTGATTTCTTGTGCGTGGTCCTTCTTTAGTAATACCATAAAAGCATCATTTAAGTGGTACAGGCTTCTGAAATCAAGCGACCAGAAGGCGTTGAACGCATGCATGATGTCTCCCTTAGTCGTTTCCCAGGTCAGCTTGTAGAAGAGTCCAGTGAAACCGTCCGGACCTGGTGCCTTTTCATTTGGTAGGTCTTTGATCACATTCCACACTTCATCCTCAGAAAACAGCCCCTCCAACTCAAGCAGCTGAAAAGAGGGTACGCCAATTACATGCATGTTAATGCACCTGGACCTCTCAAAGTTGGTTCCCAGAAGCCCATTATAGTAATCATAGAGAGCCTGACTCATGGATATATCGGAGACAACCTGGGCCCCCTGTACCCGAAGTGTGTCAATCATGTTCTGCCTCCGCCGATGGCAGGCTTGCAAATGATAGAACTTCGTGTTGGCATCACCCTCCCTCAGGAAAAGGATCCTAGAGCGTTGCCTTGTGATTGTCCGCGCGAGCGAGGCCAGTCCCAACGTCTTGGCCTTGAGGGACCTGTACATGTTTAGCTCCCAGTCATGCAGATTCCGCCTCTCCTGCTCTTCATCAAACCGGAATATGAGCTCGCGAGCCACAGCAAGCTGCAGCCGAATGCTACCCACCTTGGAGTTGCTCCATCGACGTAGCTCAATGGCAACCTTGCGAAATTTTTGGTCTAATCTTCGAAATGGATCAGCCCCCTCAACCGTTGAAGACCAGGCACTCTCCACCACACCAGAAAAGCCTGGTATCTTTGTCCAGAAAGTCTCAAACCGGAAACGGCGCTGGACATCATAGAACGCAATGATCGTGAGCAGCAGCGGGCAGTGGTCAGAACATTCAGAGGACAGAGGCCTTAGAGTGTGTGAGGGGAACTCAGTAAGCCAGCCTACAGAGGCGAAGGCCCTGTCCAGCAGCTCGAGCGTTGGTTTGTCCCTGCGATTAGACCAGGAAAAAGATCTGCAAACCATGTTGATTTCTTGCACCTGTACACTGTCAATGAATCTTCTAAATCTTGCCATGTTTCGACGATCAAGCCTGTCGTTGTTCTTGTCCTGGGCACGATAAATCATGTTGAAATCTCCACATATTAACCATGGCCCAGGCGAAGTGTCACGGAATTGCCTCAACTCCGCCAAGAACTCGACCTTCTGGGCATCTTCCTGCGGTCCATAGACCCCAGTTAGCCACCATGGCGTCGACGTGGCACCCCTCTTCTGAAAGCGAGCTGAGATGGCGAAGCGTCCCTTGTTAATATCAGAGACAACCCAATCCTCCCTAACCCAGGCCAGTAAGATCCCGCCAGCCGCCCCAGTCGCGGATAGGAAGTCATAATCGAAAGTAGGTCCTAGAATTTCATTCGCAAGCAAATTACATAAGCTGGAGAGTTTGGTCTCCTGGATACACACACACGACGGCTTGTGCAGCAGCAGCAATTCGCGAACCACATTATGACGTGTGCGATCATTGAGACCGCGGACGTTCCAGACGAAGCAACTGAAGGTCGTCGACATTGGATAACCAATTGGGCGACATCCGTGTGTGATGGCAGCGCTCAGAGCGCCGCGTCCTCCAGACCATGGAGGTTTAGGTCCACAGTTGTCAGGTCACTTCCATTTTCAAGGAAGAGTTGTAGTGCCTCCCTTTTCCTGGTCGACATATCTCCCCTGAATGCCAGCTTGATCTTCTTCTCAACCTCAGAGGCATGCTCACCCTCCGCCACAGCGACTCCCAGCTTCTTAAGGAGCAGCAGCTGCGCCTGCACCGTTGCATTTGGTGCCCTTGGCCTTGCTGCGATCCTGCCACTCCGTCGCAGCGACGGGATGGAGACCGGCGTTCGCGCCCGCCGAGGCCTAGGTCCCGCGCGGATCAGGGGCGTGTGCATGGGGACGCACACCTCCGCCTCCAGCGCAGCCTGTGTAGCGGCTGCCGCATCCATGACAGTGGCCGCATCATTGGCCGCATCCACTACAGAAACAGGTTCCTCCACAGCGCTCTCATCCTCCTCATGAAGTCCAGCCCCATCAACAACTGGGATGGCCGCAACATATGTGGTGGAGACAAGTTCAGCCTCAATCAGGTCCGCCCACCAGTCCACCGAGTTCGAGGCCGACCCGGAAGTGGCCCCCTCCTGACCAACACACGCTTGAGCACTAACATCATTTGAAAGCTCATTCACCGCCAGATCAGCCCACCAGTCCTGATCAACATGTACAGGTTCGAGTGTTGAAACACCCGCGTGGAGGAGCAGTGGCGCGACGTTCAGGAACCACGCCACGACACCGGTGGTAGGGGAGCCCAGCTGCCTATCAATCCACGGTGATGGAGTGTTGACCGTCGTAAAATTTGATGCCCGCGTCCAAGGAGTACGCGGTGCAGACATCATCTCCCAACGCTCGTGAGCCTCCACAGACTCCTTGCGCGTGCCATCAACATCAGTGTGCCGAGCAACGACCTCCGACGCACAGGGGCATCTGAACTCGCCCACCTGCACAGACATGGATGGATCACGTCCACTCGCTTCCTCTGGTGGGTAGTAGCATGTTGGGTGATAATTATTACAGTTGCTATCACCGGAGTCATCATCACTATCGCGCCGCGGTGTTGGCCAATGCTCCCCCCGGTCTTGAAAGTTATCATCAGCACGACCATCATCAGGGCCATCACTATCATCATTACAATCATCATCACCAGGTGAGGCAGGGGGTGTGGTCCAATCCTGGAAGGCGACCACCCTGATCCTAACCTGGTACTGCAAGAGGCGTGGCGGGGCAGGATTGCCCATAGCTGCAACAGGCAAAACAGGCTCCGGAATTGAGATGGTCTGCTCGTCTTCGATGAGATCCGGATGTTTGCACCATGCCTTGACAAAGAATTCTCGGTCGTCATCATCAGGTATGTCTCGAAGCCTTGTGATTTCATTCCCCGAGCAAGAAGGGCCCAGGATGATTTGGGCAGTAGCCACATTGCGCGCGTGAAGCGGTACACGCAGCATGCCCACAACCACCTGAAAATTGAAGCTTTCTGCAGTGGCCAGTGAAGTTCGTTGCCTTCTCCAGGTGAGGGGCAGAAGGTATCCACCCGGCCGCGAAGCAAGGACACGGTCACGGTCCGCACGCCGGCGGAAACGTGCGATGAAATCTTCCGGGTGGTGCCGCCGCAACTCCACATCGTTCATCGTAAGCTCAAACTCAGAGTAGAGGAAGCTGTAGACTGTGGCCGTAGAAACCACCGGCCTGGTGCCCCCCACCAGGCCCACCAGGGCCAGCTCAAGCGCATCCTCGGCCGCCTGGATCTCCGTGGAACGCGGGATAACCACCGTGGGCGCGCGCGGGTCCCGAATAGCAGGGTCGGCAAGGTTTCTGGAGCCCCTGTCAAACTCCGAGCTGGTGCCGGCGGCGGGCTGGAAGACAGGTGGCGGAGGCGGCGGAGGTGGAGGCGGAGGTGGTGGGGGCGGCGACGGCGCAGCCGGTGGCGATGGATGCCGACATCAGTAAGGCACCGACGTGGACCGCCCTGCTGACAACGAACCCCCGGAGACGGTGTCCGCCGAGTTGGGCCGATGGCGCGCACCATTCGGGCGTCGCGGCGCGACCCGGCGAGCGTCCCCAGACCGCCGCGGGGAGCGGCCACGCTTCACCCCAATAGCCGAGGAGCGGGGGAGTGGGCAGCTCGCAGCGTGGTGGCCCTCGCCCCAACAGTTGTAGCATCTCGGCCTGGCGCGGCACTGCGCCTTGACATGGCCCGGCTGGAAGCAGTTGAAGCACAAGCCCTCCAGCTCCGGTGGGACGGGTCTCGGCGGCGACCTTGGAGGACTGTGGCGCCTGTCGCAGCGCCTGGAACGCACCTGGAAGAACCCCTCCCGGTCCGGCTGTCCCCGAGGCCGCGCATGGTGCGACGGCGGGGACCTCCCGCCCCGGACCAGAGCACGCCGCGGCGGTGGGGGCGACAGATCATGCACCACGGCCAGGTGGGAACGTCGCGCGGCCGCCATGAATCCCTCAGTGCGGCGCTTGCTGTGACGATGACGACGCGCCCGCTGACGCTTACCAGCAGTCTCCATCACACTCTTCCCCTTCCCCTGCGGCGGCGGCGGCGACGACTCGGGCACATCAGAATCGGGATAGTCCTCCGAGTCACTGAGAGCCACACGCTCCACAGGACCACGGCCGAGGACATCTTCCCACTGCAGGTCGGCAGCCTCCGCCCGAAGCTCGCCCTCCGCCAGATCCGCCTAGGAACGACGCTGGGAGGGGCCCCCATCATTCGCCAAGCTTGTTCAACCTCCGGACTCCTCCCTCTCTCTTCTCCCGGATCCCGATGGAGGCGAAGATGGGAGGCAGCACCAAGTGGCGCTCCGGCCGAAGGAGGGAGCGGCCGCCCGGGCGCTCAGCAGAGAGGCGTCGATTTTGGTTTGTTGATATGTTACTGGGTTCTAATGGCTAGTTGCTGAATCCAAAAGATCATGTAGGCTTGTGCAAAGCCGGCCATATTATTTAATTATTTAAGCGTCCACATTGAACAAATGCTGTTTAGGTATACTTCATTTTGTACTCTACCAATCACTACTAATTAAGAGGCATTTTTTATGTCACAGTTCATCCTTATCCATCCATTCTTCTTCGATTCTTCCTCCTCCTGCACACAAACAAGCCTCCCGTCATTCTTCACATCGTTCCAACAAGAGCAACCATGTTCGTGGTCGTGGGACGGAGGGCCATGGAAATCAGTGACCCGTCTTTGCTGGGCGTGCAAGAGGCTACGACTACGAGTATGATCATGCGTGCAGAGGGGCGGATCCAACGGTGGGGCGGGGGCTCGGGCTCGGGCTCGAGCCCCCTATCTATACCGGAGCAGTGGAACCCCTGGAGCTCTCATAAATTTTTAGGTAAAGTTTTATATTATAGGTAGGGCAGAGACTTAATATCAAGCAGCAATCGGAGATAATTTTTTCCTGGATCCGGCGCTGCATGCGTGTAGCCTCACACCGACACAGCACCACCATCCATCTCACTTTCTACAGGCTCTGAACAACAATAACTGAATAACTCAGTACTGGCTCTGGTTCTGCATATGTCACAGTGTTAAGTTAGCTCACAGACTGGTGTAGACTTGTACTCTGCGCCACACACACACACGCCTTCTAGTCTACACAGTACGACGCAGTGACATGTACACAGACCAGCAGGCCGAGTGACTGAACATTGTGTCGCTCGACCTCACAGCAGCAGGATGCATGACCGTGCGTGCCGGCGCCGGCGGTTCTTGGAGTGGCCATGACCGTGCGTGCCTGCACCGCGTCAAGGCCCTCGTCGATGAGGCGTGCCCCGGCCCCCGGCGTCCTGCGCCGCTCGCCGCCCGGGACGCACGCGGCCGTCGCCGGCCATTGTGCGTAAGCTCATCTCGTTCCTGTACTGCACTGTTATACTCAGTGCATCCTCTCCGTCGGAGACTTGGCAGGGGGGCCGTCGTGGCGCGTGCCGATGGGGAGGAGGGACGGCACGGCGTCCACCATGGCAGACGCGCACAACGGTAATCCCCAAGCAGAGGCAAGCACAACATGAGCTTGTCTCCGCAGTTGTTTTTTTTCTTTTCTAAGAGCCTTTTTTTTAAACAATTCTTTTCTAAGAGTCAAGTCCAATTTGCCACCCGAACCAGTCGCTATTTTTTTTTAAAAAAAAGACACTCTTTACTTCAGGCCCATACAACATACGCATCTTAATTTTTATGGAAAATTTGCTAGCGGACACTGAGCCAAGTCGCTTTACCAGCACCGAAAAAAGATCGATTTGCTGATAGATATTCTAGTTTGTAACAAATTTACTGAACGACACTGGACACATTAAAATATTAATTTCTTGCTCGAAGGTGAGAGAATAGTTTTAAAATGACGTTCTCTCACCTCTTGAGAAAATAATAATAATATTTTAATGCGTTCGGTGTCTTCCAGCAAATTTGGCACAAATAAGAGCGTCTACCAACAAATCGATCTTTTTTCGGTCCACTGACAAAACAACCTCACGTTCTGTGTCCACTAGCAAATTTTTCCTATTTTTTAAAACAGGGTAAGATACCCCCTAACCATTTCGACGTGATTCCTCATATGTTTTTGCTCACGTGGCAGCGAAGCTCACACATCTGATGTGGTCTCTCCTATATCGAAATAATTAATTCATAATAGATATTTATGTTGTAGTTGATATCTTTTTTACTTGAGATCATATAGAAACCTGAACTCTTTTTAATTTATTAGATTTCAAATTACATTTTCTAAAATTTTTAAATGACATTGGATGTTCACAGAGTCTATACAAAAGTTGTAGCTCTTAACATAATCTTTAACGTTGTAATTGACATTTTTTTGGCTTCAAATAACCATTTTAAGCTATCATATTTTGATATTTATTAAAACTTGAATTTTTAAACAATCTTTGATCAAGACATGATGTACATCAAAGTTATAGTGCTCGCTGAGATCTAAAAGTATCTAGTTCATATTTTTTCAATAAAACCCTTATGAACCGAAAAACTGATGATATGCATGACACACGTGTCACGCAGGGGCGGAGCTACAGGGTGGTCCCTATGAGCCGCGGACCACCATGCGCTCGGCCCAACTGAAGCCATGGATAGAGTCCGCAATTGAGAATTCGCCGTACATCGCTCGGCCTTCTGGATTCTGCCTTTTGGATTCACGAGAGACCGACAGTTCGTGTGGCCGCGTATTCACGTCAGACTTGGCCTCTGTGCAGCCGTGCAATGCAGCCATGAAGACGGGCGACAATCCTATGGCGAGCATGGGTGCGGCCATCAAGCATCGGCGTGGCGACTCCACGTATAGATGGGCAACGGGCTGGCCCGGCCCGTCACGGCACAGGCCCATGCCAGGCACGGCCCGAAGGAGGTCGGGCCGGCACGGCACGCCGTGCCACCCGGGCCGTGCCGAACCTGGCGTCGCGCCTGATTGACGGCCCAGGCACGGCCTGCTGGGCCGTTTTTCGGGCCGGGCCAGGCCGACCTAAGAAGCATGGGCAGTGCACCGTGTCAGGCCAGCCCGGGGCCCATGAGGCGGTTGCGCAAGCAGCCAGAGAGAGAGGGAAGCCGGGAAGGGGAGGAAGCGCAAGCAGCCGGTGATGAGCTAGCCCTTGGGCCCTTGATACTAGATCTGGCATCGGGGCGGAGCTCGGGGCCGGCGCTCCTCGCTCCAGCGGCGTCGCTCAACTAAAGGGAGGAGGCGTCGGCGTCCGCGCTCGGCCGTTGGCCCTACAAGCAAGGAGGTCGCGCGAGGAGAGGGAGGAGATGCTCGGCTCGGCTCGGCTGCCGTGCTGCGTGATGGAAGGGTCGAAGGGGAGGGGGCATGAGGGCGTCCCATGTTTGCGTGCACCTCGCGGAGTCGCGGCCTCGCTCGACGCGAGGGAACAAAGGAGCGAGCGCGGGTGCGTTGGATGGGATGGGAAGCACGTGCGAGGGAACAGAGTGCGGCGTGGGGAGGGCGGAGGGGGTTGCGCGTGCGCAGGGGTTGGATGGGAAGGGAGTAAGTGTTTGGGGGGTGGGGGCGTGGGCCTCATAGTCTTAGCAGGCCGGGCCGCCACCGGGCCATGCGCTATGGACTGAGCCGTGCCGTGCCGACATGTCGTGCCTAGGTAAGGCCTAGGCACAACCTGCTCCTTCAGGCCGTGCCAGCCTGGGCCGGCTCACCATCGGGCCGGGCTGTGTTTGGGCCAGGCAAAAAAACAGGCCTTGTGCTAGGCCGACGGGCTTGAGCTGCATGCCCATATACAACTCCACGAGGACCACGACTGCAAACGCTAAGCAGTGAACAGCAACCAGCAACCCAGCAGCCATCAGGTACGTACGTACATAAAAAACCTAAGATGAAGACACAATTGCTTTTTGCTAAGCCAAAGCCCTACTCTGTACTCACGTTTCTCCTTTTTTTCATTTCCTATCAGCTTCTTTCAGCCAGGATCGGAGGATCCACGTTTCAGGCTTTCAACAATTGGCAAGCCACTTAGCCAGGAACGGCAAAAGTGCACAGGGTATATAAAACTGATTTAATTTTAATTATATGTTTTTTGCAATATTGGATTATTAGTTATTTGGTTTGGTAAATTGAAATGTTATATAATTGTCTTGCTCTTGCAGATTTGTTAAAAATGAAGAGGACTGGGGTGATATTGCCTCTCTTTTCTAGAAATATGCATCAAAGAAGAAGAGATCATCAACACTTTCATGGCTATTAGAAGATGCATGGCTAACAAGAAGAAGTAGTGATATATTGTTCTTTAACTATTATGGGTACGTAATATTTTAATTCTATGTTATGAAAGCTATATTCATCTATTTATGAACTCTATATGCCGTTTGTTCATTAATTATATTTTGTAATTCATATACTTGTGTACCGACATATTAACGGTTAAAAAAATTAGATAATGAACCACCGTAGCTACGAATCGTGGGTACACCACTGGTGTCACGTATGTACCACGTCAATCAAAACTATCCTCGAAGTCACTAGGGACTATTTAATGGGGTAATCCTACTGGTTGTAAAAGTCCAGGTGTGTTGCTGTGGAGTTCTAAGATGTTCTCAACTTTAGTCTTGTTTGGCATAGCTTCTCCAACAGCTTTACGAGTCTTTTGAAGTAGTTTTATATCCAAAGGGTATTTATTTTTAAAACATCTTTACATGTAAAGCTCCTTAAAACATGCTCTCAGGAGAAATTTGTATGGGATAAAACTGAAAATAGTAACCTTTTCTAGCTTCAACTCGCTCTAGTGGGTCCTACATGGGATTTTATAAGAACATGTTGTAAAGAAGTTGTTTTGCTAAACGGTTCATAGAAACAATTTAAACTTTGCTGTTAAAGCTGCTCGTGGAGCTGAAAATTCACGAGATTAGTTCAGTGTTCAAGGATAAATTGGACCTCACTCTTGTTTTTAATTATCTTGGCCTTTTTTTTACTCCATCATATTGTTGATAAACAACCCGGGCACGGCTCTAACACGATGAACGTGACTAAGCAAGTGCGCACGCCACGAATGCAATTTTTCCGTCTTCAAGGACATATATGTTCTCATATTATAGACTATATATATACTGGATGTGTACCAAAATACGTGCATTCACGTCAAGAGGGCACATACATGCCAGGGGCAGATTTTTCTTTCTCCGCACACACCATCGACATGGCCCACTGCTCAGCCTTCGCCGACCGCCTCTACTACGGCTACCCTTGCGCCGCCGCCGCCGGCGACGACACGACCGCCCATCCCTCGACGCGACTCGCGACATACGCCGCCAATGCAACCTCCGCAGGCACAAATGCCGGGCACCGAACGGCAGGTATGGTACGCCAAGGACGCCGTCGTGGAGATGGACCCAGGAAGCCACCTGACGTTGGACCTGGGCCTGGGTGGGTAGGCTAGTACGGCACGGTGCTCAAGCACAAGGGCCTGCTCCGCTGCGCCGTCGTGAACTGAACACTGTGATTTTGTTCTTACACACTTAGAACAATTACTATGTTCAAAAAAATTTACATAAAAACAACTATGTTCAAAGTTTTGTTTCGCTTGTATACATGTTGTTGATAGCATTAGTACTTTTTTTTCTCGATCATGCAAAAAGTTTGCACGTATTTTAGTGCCGGTCCTAGGATTTTAAGGACCCTCTAACGATCTCGTCGCAACGGCCCCTCTTGACCATGTATAAAATCTTATAATATATAGACGCTAATTTTACTTCCAAAACGAAAGTAAATTCAATAACATATTTTTAATTTAACATGTCTGATAATTATCGAGGAACAATGTAGATTAAGCAATATATTTGTAGATGTATGTTAATTATCGAGGAACAATGTAGATTAAAAAAAATAATATATTCGTTTTCTTTTCTCACCCATGACAAATGTTTCTTAGGTAACATTCTCAAATTCTAACACATAAATTAGAAGAAAAATATGACTGATCAGTGATCGCAATTCATAAACAACTTAGAAATCTGGAATACTATACAAATAATTAATTTGGATTAAAAATAAAAAGGAAAAAAATACCTTGGGCCTAAACAACCGATCAGTGATCGCAATTCATAAGAAGCCAAGAATCAAGATGTCGTCGTCGTGGGGCCCTGCCTGGTCGCCGTCCTCGTGCGCCGTATCCGTGTCTCCAGTAGTCTAGCTCTTCGCGGCGGCGTGGCTCGCCAGCTCCACGTGTGTAAGGCGCACGTCGCGAACTCACGATCAGAGTGTGCTGTATGCAGCGTGACTCCTGG